ACCTGGAGGGCGCCAGCTTCGCCGTCCAGCCCGACCACTTCACGCTGGATACGAGCGACAGCGTGCAGCTGGAGGTGTCCTACATCCCGGCGGCGGTCGGCCCGCACCGGCAGACGCTCACTCTGGTCTGCGACAACGCCCAGGTGCGCCATGTGACCGTGTGTGGGAGCGGTGTGCGCGGCGCGGCGCGTCTGGTGGCCGCCAGCGGCCAGTTCCACCAGCCGGCGGTGGGGCAGCGCGCTGACAAATACTGCCAGTGGTTCCTGCGGCTGCCCGACACCCTGCCACGGCTGGAGGTGCGGAGCTCGCTGCAGCTGAGGAACACCAGCGGGGTGCCCCTCACCTACCGCTGGGAGCCGCGGCCCAGCGCCCTGGACGCCTACGGACACGACGCCTCGGACGTGTCGGCCGGCAGCGACACCCGCCCCAGCCCGGCGCGCGGCACGCTGCGACCGTTCGAGCAGGTCGGGGTGACGTTCAGCTGCGCAACCGGCCGGCTCGGCGAGCGGCGCGTCGTCTGGAGCCTGCTGCTCGAGAACATGCCGGAGACGGGGCTGGACGGTGAGGATGTGCGCTTCGAGCCCGGCTGGCCGCGGCCGGGCCTGCTGTCCCGCCTGGAGCGGCGGCCGGCGGCGCGGCGCTCTGCCTCGGTGAGTTGTCTGCAGCGGCCGGCGCCGCTCGACCTGCACGCGCCGCGGCGCCGGCGGCCGGCCCGGTCCCGCTCTGTGCCGCCGGCCGGCCGGCCGCCCGTCTGGGACGCGCTGGCGCTGGAGGTGCAGACTCTGTGCCGCTGCGAGCCGCTGCCGCTGTGGCTGGAGCCGCCGCTTCTGCGTCTGCCCGACCCGGTGCCCTTCTGGAGCCGAGTCTCACGAACAGTCACCGTGGTGAACGACTCGGACTACGCGGCGCCGTTCGAGTGGTGCACGGTGCGCCGCGGCGACCTGCTGGTCAGCGTCAGCCCGCAGAGCGGCCAGGTGCCGGCGCGCGGCCGGCTGCCGCTCACCGTCACCCTGTGGTCGGCACGCGAGCTGCAGCTCACTGCCGAGCTGCGCTGCACCAGCCGCCGGTTCGGCCGCAGCGTCTGCCTGCCCGTGGTGGCCGCGTTCCTCGGGCCCGCACTGCAGATCAGCACTCACCGGCTCGAGATGCCGCGAACTCGCGTCGGCGCCCGGTCTGAGAGGCAGCTGACCCTCACCAACCCCACAAAGCTGCCGCTCGAGTGGCGCACGGCGCGCATCGTGGAGCGCTCCCCGGTGCGGCCGGCGGAGCGCGGTTGGCGGTTCGACGGCCAGGTGGACCCGTTCTCGGTCAGTCCGTGCTCGGGTCTGCTGCGGGCCGGCGAGAGCACCCAGCTGACGGTGTCGTTCGAGCCGCCGGCTCCGGCCATCTACGACATGGTGTTGGATGTCGGAGTGGACGGCAGCAGTCGCAGCAGCGCCGTCTCCATCGGCGCCGAGGCGTGCCACCTCTCGCTGTCCGTCACCCCGGCCTTCCACAAGCTGGACGCCTACCTGGGCGGCACCGTGGCCATGATGGTGTTCGTCTCGAGCACCTGCGACATGGACGTGCCGTTCCGCTGGGAGGTGCCGGCCAGTGAGTCGGTACAGGTGACCCTGGAGCCGGCCAGCGGCGTACTGCTGCCCTGGGCCACTCTAGTGTCCGAGCTGCGGATCACCGGTCTGCGCGCCGGCCCGTACGGCTACTACTGCATCCCCTGCTGGCTGGAGGACCGCTCCTTCTCCGCGCCACTGACGCTGTACGGGGAGGTGATGGCACTGTCTGCGTCAGTCCATATCGCGCCCAACTGGGGGTACCGGCCGGCCGGGGTGCCCGACCTCGGCGAGGGCAGGCAGGTGCTGGGCCGCAGCCGGCGCCGTCAGCTGGAGCAGCAGCAGCGAGAGGCGCAGGAGGAGGCCGCCCGACTGGCCGCCCAGCCGCCGCCGGAGCCAGAGAAACCACCCACACCACCGCCGTCACCCAAATCAAAGAAGGACAAAAAGAAGTCACCAAAGGCTGCCAAGAAGGGTAAGAAGAAGGGCAAGGACCGCCCTCCGACTCCTGAACCGGAGCCGGAGCCGGAGCCGCCGCCTCCGCCGGAGCCGGAGCGGGCTCCGACCCCGGAGCCGACGGTGGAGGAGCTGGTGGCCGAGTGGGAGCTGGTAGAGTCGGCGGAGGCCGGCTGTGGTTCGCTGGTGCTGCTGTTTGGACACGATGTGGACATTCACTCGGTGGTGGTGCGGGAGCTACATGTGAGGAATAACACGCCCATAACGATGCAGTGCAGCGCGCGCGTGCTGAACTTTCCCGGCCTGCAGCAGGAGAGGTGCGCCGGAGAGCCGCCCATGACGGTCGAGGTGAGCTGACCTGGGAGCTGGGGTGAGCTGAGGAGGGAGTAAGGGCGAGTTGAGGTGATAAGCTGGAATGTCTATCCGTTGACTCCGGTGTAATCGAGCATTGACCGCAGTTGCGGCATTTCTGATGACCACAGTCACACACGCCTATGCAGTCCCTCGTCACCACTGCCACCAATCCCCCCCATCCGTCCTGCAGAAGCGCCGGATCAACGACCTGGAGCGGGAGGACGTATGGTCGGAGCTGCTCTCGGACGGACGCGGTCTGGCGCTGCTGGTCCGGCCGGCCCGGTTCGCCGTGCCGGCCCACAGCCAGACCCTGGTGCGGGTGTTCTGCTGCGCCGACATGTGGGGCTGGTACTCGGACCAGCTGATCGTCTCAGGGGAGGGCATCCCCGACCTGACGGTGGACCTCCGAGTGGGCGTCACCGGCTCGCCGCTGCTGGCCGTCAACACCGGCTCCAACCACGTGCGGTTCGGGTGTCAGCTGTACGGCGGCGCGCCCGTCGAGAGACACCTGTGTCTGAACAACGTGTCGCCGTGCCCGATCCAGCTGAACATGGCCGTGGCGCTGGAGACGCCGGTCGAGGAGCGGCCGCCGCCGTTCTGCGCCTTCCTCTCGCTGGGGGCCGACTTTGAGCCGCTGCTGCCGCTCTGGGAGTGGAGGGTTACCAGCGACACGCTCCGGCTCGGACTGCGGCCGGTGTTTGGACAGGAGAGCCAGGCGTACTACACGGTCACTCCGGAGGTAACGGTGGTACCGGCGCGCTCCAAGGTCTGGGTGCTGCTGCAGCTGCACCCGGTCTGTCTGCCGCCGGCCGCCTCCCGCTGGGAGCGGGAGCGCCGTCAGCGGCCCGTGGACGTCCTCGCCTGGCTGACTGCCCACTGCTCGCTGCGGGAACAGGACCGCGCACCACCCGGCGGCCTGGTGACCCGGCGGGACGGCTACAGCCGGCGGCCGCTGCAGGTGCAGCTGCGGGCCCAGCTGCGCTCCGCCTACCTGACCGTGGCCTACCCAGAGACAGCCGCGGTCGGGTTCCGGCCGCCGCCGGTGCTGGCCGGCGCCGAGGAGGCCGTCCGGATGGTGGCGCCGGTCACAGCGCTGGTGGAGGGGCCGCGCCGCTCGGTGGCCCGGCTCCTCTCCCGGCTCACCATACACAACAAACACCAGGTGGATGTGGAGGTGATCTGCTGGACCACGCTGCCGTTCATGCTGGTGCGCGCCGCCTCGCCGCGCGGCGCCGTGGAGCGGCCCGGCCGGTGCGTGGTGCCCCACAGCGGCCACACCCAGCTCACGGTAGAGTTTGTGTTCTCCCGCGCCCTGCTGCGGTTCTGTCTGACAGAGCGACTCACCGAGCCGCGCCGGGTGCGGTTCTCTCCCGGCGGGGAGGTGGAGGTACTGGACGACCCCGACTGGTCGGACGCCAGTGACGGCTGTCCGCCGGCCGACGACGCGCCGATGGAGGAGGAGACGCGCTCCGCCGAGCTGCTCACCGGCTCCGAGCGGGCCCCCTCCGAGCCGGGCTCTGACCCGGCCGGCAGCTGCCGGGCGAGGGCCCGCTCCGAGCCCGACCTGGGCGCCGCCGCCGCCGGGCCGTCCGCCTCCCTACAGCAGCTGCTCTGCTCCCGGTCGGCGGAGATGACCGCCGAGCAGCGGGCGGCCGACTTCTGTCTGCGGGAGGTGGAAGTCGTCCACCTGACCACCGACTCTGGCGAGGAGCGCGTCCGGTTCCGCTCCAAACTGGTGCTCCAGTACATGGACTCGCACGTCCAGGCGTTCCCGGTCGAGTGTATACTGGCGCTGCCGGCGCTGCGCGTCTCAGTCGAGCTGATCGAGTTCAAACAGGTCACCGTAGGAGACGTGGCCAAGCGCGGGCTGTACATCTCCAACCCGACGATCGGCGAGCTGAGCTGGTCGGCGCGGCTGGTGGCCCGCCTGCCCTCCCCCCAGACTTCCGTGGCCAGCCGGCTGAGCCGGCGGCGCAGCACGCGCCTGGCGCCACGCCGACCGGACGCCGCCACCTTCCGACTGAGCCCCGAGTTCGGGGTGCTGGCGCCGCGCGCCCGACAGCACGTCAGCCTGACGTTCGCGCCGGCCAGCTGCGCGCTGTACTCGGCCACACTGGAGCTGAGCGGGCCCTGCCTGCCGGATCCCGTCTGCGTGCTGGTCACCGGGGAGGGGACACACGACGAGCTGCCGCACATGCCCGGTACCTGAGGAGCGGCCGAGGAGCGGCAGGACGAGAAGGGACGGGGCTCAGTGATGGTAACCGGTGTTTAGAGAGGACAAAACGTAAGAATCCGGCTGTGGTTTGTCTGGTCCAACGTTTTAATTACACGTCTTTTGAATTATTTGTCAGATTGTCAAATTACCGTTAATAACTACAGTTTCGCTATCACTTTGAATGTCTTTAAGCAGGCAATTACGATCAGTTCATGTAGTACCTAGTATTGGATGGCCATCAGAACTAGCTGGCAGCGCGGAGAGATCTCACAAGAGGGAGGCATGATGCTAGCTTGGATCGAGGGGAACTGAAAGTGACCAACAACGTGCAGGGAAACTGCGGTGTTTCGATCGCGGTGGCTCGAACAAATTAATGGAGAACAAAATAAAAAAAAAAAACGCACGTAGGCACTTCAAAGTTAAAATGTGAATAATATATATATTCGTCTTTATTGCAAGCACATTTGTAGTTTCTTCATAAGCGATAACACATAGACTCAACACATTGCTGCACAAGGTTAATCAATAAATCCATGAGCGTAGCTTGGCCCCGGGCGCGATTCTCGGCCAGGCGTATAATTCGATGCGTAGATTTATGAGTAGTGCCTGGAGCGGCTGGGGAGCCTTACTGGCACGGTTGTCCGTTCAGCTTCAGACGCTCCGTTCTACATGGTGGCCAGCAGGATCTGGACGCACATGTAGACGGTGACGACGATACCCACCGTGAAGCAGAGCACACGGGACGGCTGAGGCACCTGAGGAGCGGGGGCGGACCATCGGTCAGAATCGGCTCTTAGTCGACAATAAACTTGGTGGTGCTTGTCGGCAATATCAAGCTCCCTTCCGTCAAAATCACTCTCACCGTCAAAACGAAATAAACATTAACATCTTCCAACCACATGCAGGTCTACATACAGTTTAAGTCTCCCCTACTCCTTCCCCCTACCCCAACACCCATAAACACACGCAACTCCAGCTCCAGCCAGTTATATTTTTGGCCCAAAAACACAGCCAGTACCCACTTCACCAAACATGTCTCTCGTCAGACCCCCAACCAGCGCCCACCATACGCACGCCATTGCCGCTACCCCTCCCTTACCTTCTCCAGTACTAACGACATTCAGTGCCTCCCCAGTACTAACGACATTCAGCGCCTCCCCAGTACTGGCCACATTCAGCGCCTCCCCAGTACTGACCACATTCAGCGCCTCCCCAGTACTGACCCCATTCAGCGCCTCCCCAGTACTAACGACATTCAGCGCCTCCCCAGTACTAACGACATTCAGCGCCTCCCCAGTACTAACGACATTCAGCGCCTCCCCAGTACTGACCACATTCAGCGCCTCCCCAGTACTGACCATATTCAGCGCCTCCCCAGTACTAACGACATTCAGCGCCTCCCCAGTACTGACCACATTCAGCGCCTCCCCAGTACTGACCACATTCAGCGCCTCCCCAGTACTAACGACATTCAGCGCCTCCCCAGTACTGACCACATTCAGCGCCTCCCCAGTACTGACCCCATTCAGCGCCTCCCCAGTACTAACGACATTCAGCGCCTCCCCAGTACTGACCACATTCAGCGCCTCCCCAGTACTAACCACATTCAGCGCCTCCCCAGTACTGACCTGGACCACATTCAGCGCCTCCCCAGTACTGACCACATTCAGCGCCTCCCCAGTACTAACCACATTCAGCGCCTCCCCAGTACTGACCTGGACCACATTCAGCGCCTCCCCAGTACCGACCACATTCAGCGCCTCCCCAGTACTGACCACATTCAGCGCCTCCCCAGTACTGACCACATTCAGCGCCTCCCCAGTACTGACCACATTCAGCGCCTCCCCAGTACTGACCACATTCAGCGCCTCCCCAGTACTGACCACATTCAGCGCCTCTCCAGTACTGACCAGATTCAGCGCCTCCCCAGTACTGACCACATTCAGCGCCTCCCCAGTACTGACCACATTCAGCGCCTCCCCAGTACTGACCACATTCAGCGCCTCCCCAGTACTGACCACATTCAGGTAGACGACGGTATGCAGCAGCCGGGCCGCGGCGAACACCCTGATGAGTGTGGTGGCCGTGGCGGCCGCCGGCCCGGTGGCCAGGTACAGCGGACACAGTATCAGGAACGGTAGCACGTTCTCCAGGTCGTTCAGGTGCGCGCGCCGCACCCGTTCCACGTCCGGGTGGTCGAACTTGACCTTGCCTTGGAGGCCCTTGGCGTCCTCCGGGTTGGCGAACACCTGGTGAGAGCAATGACGAGGGGTGGTTTGTGAGAGAGGGTTTCGGGAGAGGAAAGGGCGAGACAGCTATGGGCTGACGAGAGAAAAAGGTAATAAAAATAGACACTTTGAACTGCAGCCGGTACGTGCAAATGTGCTTCAAGCAATATGGCCGTATCGCAACGAGATTATGAAACTAAACATCAAAGGATAAAACAAGTTAAGCTTATGCGAATTAAACGATGCCCATTGCCATACTAGCTAGAAGCCATACTAGCTAGCCGGCCCGCCTCACCTTGTTTCCCATCCTGTGCCGGGCGGTGAACAGCGACATGAACAGGGTCTTCAGACCCAGCACGGCCGCGTAGAACAGGTACGTGACGAACACCGGGTTCGACATGTTCAGGTCACCGAGGCCGGCCATCGCGGAGCTGCAGGAACGAGAGAGCGCCGGTCAGTCCAGGCGATAACAGAGAATGGAACTGCACTGTCGTTAAAACCGCTCTTTTATACATTTGTTAGGGTTTATCGGCGCATCTACTACTTATTCATTTGCGGCAATTCCTACGTAAAGGGATTCTTGAGGCCAGAGGCCATGATTAGTGATTACACAATAAAATCGAGCCATCGGCTGTATATCGTTGATATCGGCTGTATATTGACTGTGTGTGGTTGCTCTCGACTTGGGCGTGAAAGTCTATAATTGGCTAGCCCTCAGACCCTAACTTCAATAAGCTCGGCACACACATATCGTCTTTCAGCAGATAAATCAAGTTAGGTCAGCGTCAAAACCAGTTTTGCTTTGTTTCACTTTAATTAGTAAATATTTAGACGGACAAACGACAATCTAAATATTTTGACTTATTCCAACAATTAAATCCGCTCCCTCTTGAAACCGTTGCTCATCGACTCACCGTATGAAAAACAATATTTCTGTCACTTGTATGTATTGTACAATACGTTGGCAGGCAGACGTTTCACATACGCAGTACGCACACTTATGAACTGGCTGACTCCCTGAACACTCACAAAAATGCCCGACAATCGCACTGTGAGCCAGCACACCCGCCGACTGGCGACTCCACAAATCGGGAACGGGCGTAAGGTGTCCGACCTCATGACCAAAATACAACAACCAGTGATCAAAAAGCAAGTCAAAAAGCACATTTTCGTCTGATTACAACACGATTCCTGAAACACAGGACCGAAATCGCCAGTGACAATTTCTTTTCATTCCCACGTTACACGAGCTAAGAGCGGACCAGGTTACCTGAGCTAAAATACTGTCAAAGCGACCGATGGCTATATTTTCTAGGTGATGCGTCTACTTGGGAACCATACTACCAGCTGGCAAGACTAGCTACTGAATTTGATAGGTTAGTCCCTCTTCCTAGTTGAGCTGACTTACTGGCAAGCTGAGCATCCACGATCTCGCAGGCTGCAGGAATTCACTACCACACGCTCCCAGAGCGCCATCTACAAAGCACATCGCTCGCAGCGCCACCTACACACCAGCCCTCCCAGACTGATCGCAGCGCTACCTACTACAGGACATCACGGACGGAGAACTTGTAGATGCAGGTGTGCTGGTAGACCTCTCCCGGGTTAACGATGGTGCTGGGGAACTCAGGCCGGTTCACAGCGTCCGGGAACTTCTGCGTCTCCATACAGAAGGCTCCCTGCCGGCTGTAGGTGGCGCCCGCCTTACCAGGGGCTCCGTCCGCCGGAAGGAAGTTCCCCGTGTAGAACTGCATGCCGGGCTGGTCTGTGAACACCTCCATGGCTATACCCGTGTCGGCACTGTGCACCGCCGCGGCGGCGCCCACCGCGCCGTCTTCGGGCCGTTCCAGGCAGAAGTTGTGGTCGAATCCGCCACCTGGAGCCGCCGCCATCGCCTCCCCGAGCGGCTGCGGCAGGCGGAAATCAAACGCCGAGTCGGCGACCGGCAGCCGCCGGCCGGTGACCAGACACGCGTCGTCCACCTCCAGTACAGTGTCGGCGTTAATGGTGACCTGGTGTCGGAGCAGGGCGTCCCGGCCGGCGCCGTGCCCCGCCAGGTTCCAGAAGCTGTGGTTGGACAGGTTCACCGGGGTGGGCCGGTCCGTCATGGCCTGGTACCGGATCACCAGCTGACTGTCCTCGGTCAGCTGATAGGTCACGTGGGTGGTCAGCTGGCCCGGGTAGCCCTCCTCGCCGTCCGGACTGATGTAGGTGAATGTGACGCTGTCTCCGGCCACATGGGACCCCCAGAGCTGCCGGTCGAAGCCGCGCTCTCCGCCGTGGAGGTGCAGCGGCGGGCGGTTCTGGGTCAGCTGGTACGTCTGACCGTTCAGCGTGAACGTGGCCCCGGCGATCCGGTTGGCCACCCTGCCGACCGTGCAGCCGAAGAAGCGGCTCGTCGCCGCCAGGTAGCCGTCGTAGGTGTCCTCGCCGAGCACGACGTCCACCGGCTGACCGGAGCGGCCGCGCACCTTGAGCGAGGTCAGGCGCGCGCCGTAGTTGATGACCTGGGCCTCGGTGCCGGCAGAGTTGGAGAGGGTGAAACGGCGCACCGGCTGGCTCGTGTTAGCCGTGCGGTACACGCCGAAATTGTCCTCCGCCACCGTGGTCATGGCGCCGGCCTGTCGACAGCCACACGGTCAAGGGTCAGAGGTCACCGGTCAGTCAGGTCGCGGGTCAGGTCAGCAGGGTCACGGTCAGAGTCACCGTTAGCTCACCGTCAACGGTCAGCGTACTGGCCACGGATTAGTATTCGGAGGTCAGCAGAAAGGTCCTCCAGGTCAGGTCATGTTAGAGAACGGGGTCTGCGTCAGGTCAGGTCAGGTCAGACAGACAGCAAAAAAACAGGGCTCATCTGTGTAATATGGTAGTGAGCCGCACCGGTTAACATTGGTGATATTTGCACTATCGAAAGACGATAATGAGAGGAGCAGAACCGATCAACTGAAGCCTTTGGACCAGAACACTGACAAGGGATCTGAGTCCAATTGCAGTAGTATCGATTTGGAGAGCTGCTCGCGAGTAGCTTAACGATGGAGAGGAGACACCGATAGTGCCTCCTGCTTCGCGCAGTCACCGTTACCAAAACTAGAGAGGGCACGCCATTCAGGCCAAGGCCATTACCTAATCGCAAGCAAATATAGGTACTTTCTACATACACACTACACAGCGACAGCATTATACAAACACGGATATTGGTGTTGTTTTAGCATCATCATACAAAGTAGCATTTAAACACTTATAGTTTTCAGTCATATAAAAAGGACTTATCTGGTAAAAATAACATCCTAATAACAATTATGAGATTGAGACGGTATCTATACCTCTAGATCAGCTCAGAGCGTCCCTCCCAAATGCTCCACCACCACAGTCGCACGCTCCTGTTCCACTGACGCTACGCGGGCCACTGTGTTGGGAGTCTGTTCAAACAGCCTCTGGGGGCTGTGAGGACGCTGTCGCCGCCCGGCCGGCCGCCGTCAGCTGACGGTCTGTGTCAACATACACCACCACTGAGGTGTGGGGGACCATGGAGACAGGGGCACGGGGGCACGGTAAGGGGGCACGGCGGGGGCACGGTAAGGGGGAAGGGGGCATGAGAGTCGTGTCACGGGACCGGACCGGACCAGACACCCGGGCACTCGAGTACAGGGGCCAGCGGGCCATCCAAACATGAATTAAACCAGAACAAAGCCACAGGTAGGCCGGGAGCAGTGTGCTGCTCGATCCACAATCCGTGCCTGAGACGGTAATTCATTCTGACACAGGAGATTGTCACATGACCCGGCCTCCCGGGCGGGGCAGAGGGGAGGGGGTGTGGCTCCGCCCGCCGCCCCGCCCCATATCTGCCTAGTGTCCTCCCTCCCCCTCCCCAGCATCGATACAGGACCCGTGTCGGGGTATCGGTCGACCGATAACGCCGGTACTTATCGTACCCAGCCAGGCCAGTGAGCGGACAGGCCAGGAGGGTCCGTGATGGGGAGTGGCCGGTAGAGGCACAGAACACGCTACAGAGCCGGATGAAATTGAAATGTGCCACTGGCAGACTGTCAGAAGTACGACAGAAACCTGACAGCGGTCAGAAAATAAACAAATTTGTGTGCCGACCGCGTACATTTTTACAAAAAAAAAAAAATGAACACACACCAAAGAAAGGTTCAGGTTACTCACCTATGAAGTCATCTAGGTTGCAAATACGAATAGACACTGAAATAGGTTTCTTGATCATCGTAAACTAAACAGAGCAGGGAGCAAAGCATAAAACGTACCGAGCAATAAAACCAAACCTCCCCAATGAAACTGAGCCATCCCTCACCACCCATCAAACACAAAAAAGCAACATGCCGAGGCAACTCGAATAACATTAGCACGATTGAAAACTACGCAAATGACAGACATAACGAACAATGTATAAACAAAAATGAGAGCTCGTCAGACCTGAAAATTACCATTCAGATAGCTCATAGCTATTTCTCAGTCTCGTAGGAGTATAGACAAAAAGTCACCCCGTTGCTATGCTCGGTAGCAATCTGTTTTGTTTCAGCTGTAGCATAAACATTCCCGACCATGGAGCCACCTTGTGTTTATAATAGAGCAGCTCGGTTGAGGAAAAACAAACACAACGTCTCCAATTAATGATGCACCTCAGCGTGCATACCATCGTGCATGCATGTTGCAGACTCCAAACTCCCGCGTCCCATCGAATACTGATACCATCCGCTGCTACACGGTAGGTACACCACGGGGGACGATATGGGGGGAGGAAGATGAGTCAGACCTTTCGGGCCCACGCGGCACACTAGTGTGTTCCTATGCGGGCACCCCCGTCCCACGCCTGGTCCGTACAGGTGTTCTGGGGGATGGGGGAGTGGATAGGGGTACCGTGACTATTCTGAGCGACTGGTTATAGACGCTAATGAGCCCCGCCACCCTGTCAGTCACAGTCGGCTAGGGGTCGACAAACGGCGGCACAGCTGGCTAGCGAACAGGGGTAAATGAGGGGGTAAGTTATTAAACACGCATTATTCCTAATGTCCTTACATAGACACGACAATGGATCCGTGAAAGCGCCCGCCCGAAATCATGTACGGTAGACCATGGGGGGGGGGGGGTCAAATACCGATTACAGGGAAGGTGCGCGATTACCGGAGGAGCGAACAAATTTTCGGGGAACGTTCTGTGGCCAGTGACAGACATTGATAACATCATCTTACGTTGCACTTTTGTCTGTTGCCAATAGAGAGTCGTTGGCAATAGATGTCTCTTCTAGCTTACAGCCACGTTTAAGATACACGCCTGGCCAGTCAAGTCATTGTCCGTCAGAAAGAAGGCATGCCCCAAAGGAGCGATTCACCATTTCCCCCGATGAGTTTCGATTTATCCGCACACTCCTCGGCGCGCACCGGCCCGATTGTGCAGCGTCACGGTTACGAGCCACGCGGTAAGGTCGGCGCTGAGTCGTACACGACGATCACCATTCACCATGACGGGCGGAAGACGGGGAGACGGGGGGGGGGGGGGGGGGGGGGGTAGGGGCGATTGAAGCGGATCACCATGAGATGAGGTTGGACAATGAGACGCTGACAGGAACGTGAAGCATGAGCTCGTCATCCGCTCGTATTTCTAGGGCGTATTTACCACCCATGTTTCTAGTCCGAGTGAATAAATAAATTCGACCATGACACTATTCGATGACCGAAAATAGCAAAAGCTCACTAGTAGGCTTAAGCCTATTTGATAAGCTAAAATTATTCAGCACTAAGGAAGCAGGCCAAAGCTGCTCAGCAATTACCGGTAAAGCATAAATCCGGAAAATGCGCACGGTAAAATCCAAGTCAATAAAAATCCCAACCGTTTAAAAAAAGTGAGAGGACTGAAAGCCTTCCGCGATCCGTGCCACTTCCCGCCCTCAGACCTGCCCAGTGCCCACTGACAGCCACCCTTCGGCCCGTCCCCACCCACAGGCGTAGCTCGGCCGCTGCTATGGGCCGCTTCCGTCGGAGCCCAGTGACGCGCAAAAAATTGGCTACACGCCTTGCACAGCTCAACAGCGGAAATGCATAATACATGCGGGTTAAAACAGTCGAGCATCAACTCCCAGACCCGCCCGAGTTTCAACTCACCGCTGTAGGTGCTGGTTCAGGAAGCAGTCGCGAGATTCCTTCCTTCCCCCGACGTCACCGGCGTTCAACGAGGCAGCGTCGGCGGCCGACGCCGGGCAGTCGCTGCGCGCACGCGCAGAACGACCGACCGTGGCCTTGAGTCGCGGTAGTAGCGACGGCGACGGCAGCGCGGACGGCCCCGCCCCCGGCGGAGGGGCGCGGACCTCGGACCAAAGGCAGCCCCGCCCCCAGCGAGGGGCGCGGGCCTCGGACCAAAGGCAGCAGAGGCAGCCCCGCCCCCAGCGAGGGGAGGAGGACAGGAGGCGTTCGGGCGATCCGGAGGCGACAGGCTGGGAGAAAAGGACCAACCTGTCAGATTAAGGGGTACACCACACAGCACAGTCAACCCTCCAATCTAGACCCAGAAAAAGCGCCACAGCCAAACGGTGGCCTTCAGATGGATGCGGTCGCCGGTCATTCGGAGCTGCTGGTGCCCCTGCTTGCATTGCCCCTGTCGCCAGTTTGGATACCGGCAACGACATTATCACAATTCACGACCAATGCCCTCCGTCTCAGTATGCTGGGCCTCCATAGTCCAGACCTTCATAATTCCCAAACAGGTTACAGGCATTCGCGGAGGACCGGCCAGGATGTTCGGCCCTATGCTTACTCAACAAAGGGCAGCGCTCATTACTGAAGACACTGTCATTTTAATTTTTAACTAATTTTAAAGGGCAATAAACACTTCAGATATATTGCACAATATATATTTTAATCTTTGACTTGATCGAGGATTGCAGCGATCACATTAACGTTCCAACATCAATGTCACACAGCATAGGTATCATATATCGCATACGATATAATTAGTCACGCTCAAAAGAGCTGCATCAAAATAACATAACACGATCGTCTACAGATCATTCGGTCATCAGCTATTGAATCAGCGTCGGATTCCACGCAACAAACAGCTGACAGCAGCGGTGAAAGACAAGAGTGTCACTGGTTATAACTCGCGCAGGAACTAATAGGCTATTCACGGTTATCAGAGGGACAAAACATAGTTAGAGAGCCCAGGACGTCTGCCAATAGCGCATTGAAAAGGAGCCGTCAGTTGCGGTATCAAGTATCAAGTATCGAGAGTATGGCTGCACCGCAGTCAGGGCTGCTTTGAGAGCAGTATGCAGTGCTGTGAAGTGACGAAGTGACCAAGAAGCAGCACGCGTCGATGGTAAACACTGACCTTTACCAGTTGAGAAGGAACACATCACACCTCTCCAACAGCGAGTGAACACATTGTTCCATCAATCACAAACTGACCAACAGCAAAAATAGCACTTAATCGCGCGACTTGACTCAAAATCTCAGAAACAGGACGGTCAAACGCCACTTGGACTACTGTGGCCAACGGTTAGATACTGGAAAATAGTGCAGAGCGGGAAAAGACAATGTTACCTGCCGTCTTGGAAAAAAGAGGAATGCAAAAGATTGATTATGGAGAAAAAGGAACATTACCTTTCGGGTGGGAGGACTCTGGATACTCTGCCTGATCGCTCTTTCTCCGCGGAGGACCAGTGTTCCAGTCTCGGTGCAGTGTTCCAGTCACTGCGTTCGGTTCCACACCGGTGCTCCAGTGACTAGCTGCGAATAGAAGTCAGTCTGACTACCGCCAGTGACTGGCTATGGCGGGGAATATCCAATCCCCAGTAAGCACAGCTCACTGATAGAGCAGCATCCAAGACCCAATGTAGGTCACCCTGGCTCTCCAGACCAGACCCGCTCTCACGACCTCGGTTCGTCTCTCGAGTTCGGCTATCTCCCGCCTCCCCTAGCTCCTGTGCAGGTGGAAGAAGCTCTTCCTGGCCGGTTTTTCCTTCTCACTGCCGGGCGCCATCATGGACCCGAACAGCAGCCTCGCCTTGTCCTCCTCATCATGAGGCGGCTCCTCGGCGCCCGGCGCTCCCCTCCCGCCGATCTGCAGCTTCTGCTTGATGGCCTGCGAGAGCAGAACCCGCTTGGTGTCGTTCTTCATGGCCAGCAGCAGGTCCAGCCAGGTCCAGGTGACGTTATGGTACTCGAGGGTCGGCACCGTCAGCAGGAAGTTGTGCACATCCTCCAGGTTCTTCTCCTTCTCTCCCTTGTAGCTGACCCGCACCGTCACCTCGGGCACCTTGATGTAGATGAAGAGCATGTTGTTCTGCGCGCGCTCCTTCATCTTTTCCACGTCATCCTTCTCGATGGCCACGTAGAAGCTGCTCTCCTTCTTCTGTTTGCGCTTTTCCTTCTTGGAGAGCTTCTCCTTTGGTGCTGGTACGTCCTCCTCTAGATGCTCCGTGTCACGTTCCGGGAAACAGAAGCGCAGCATCGTCTTGAAGAACTGGTACGTCATGCCGATGTTGATGGGTGTGATGTTGATCTCGAGGTGTTCCTTGACGCTGATGCCTCCGACGGGCGGCCTCTCCCTGAAGTAGACGCGCAGTGAACGCTGCCGGTCCACCGGCATCCCGCTCTGGGTCTCCGTGGGCTGGAGGACGTCCCTATAGGCCGGGTTCGGCAGCAGGTTCGACATGCTGATGTAGCCCAGCTCCAGCAGGTGCTCCACGCTGTCGTCACTCTTGGTGTGCTTGGTGTACTGGAAGTTGCTGATGACCAGGTCAGCCAGGCCCAGCTGGCCGTCCGGCTCGGTGAGTCGCCACTGCGCGTGCCGGATGCACACCTCCGCCGTCCGGATCATCGACACCGGCTGCTGCGCGTCGCCCTTCCGCGCCGCCGGCTTGGGCGTCTTGGAGAGCTGCGTCTCCTTGTAGATGTGGATCCTCATGGCCAGCTCCTCAGCCGATGCGCTGAGCTGCTCCTTCTTATCCAGCGTCTGGCGCTCCTTGTCCGCCATCTCGGCCTGGAGCCGGACCGCCGCGGCGCGGTCTGGCGCCTCATCCCGCTGTCGCTGCAGCTGGTAGGTGGCCTTCTCCAGCTGCCGGATCTCAGACATCATGGCTCTGCAGCGGTTCTGCAGCTGCTGGATGGGCCGCCGCTGGTCCTCCAGCGCCGACAGCTGCATCTGGAAGCGCATCCGCTGCAGCTGGTCGGAGCTCTGGCGGCGCCGCGGCGCCACGTACAGCAGCAGGTTGTTGACGATGTCCAGCACCATGGCGTACTGGAGGCTGTTGGTGCACACGTTCAGGTCGTGGTGGGTGACGGTGAGCGCGTCCACCGGCTCCTCCTGACCGGGCCACAGCTGGGAGGGGGCCGTCGGCAGAGGAGGGATCGACTCGACAGAGTCCGGGTCCACAGACACCTGACGGAGAGAGACAAACACGTCGTCAGTTGCGAGTTGAAAGGCCAGCTTTACACGGAATCAATAAGTGAGGGATGGTACCTGAAATAAGTCATATTGATCATGTTAAATCTGATAAATTTCGAGAAAAAAACTGCGGCATTAGTGATAGCAGCAATGAAATTTCCACGGAAATAATCGTACCGGTACTGCAAGTACTGGCAGTGCCATGTTTTGACAGATCTTTTATTTTCTAATACTTCTTTTAAAACAATTTTTAGAGCCAGTTCAGTAAGCCATCACAGACTGGACACCAATCCCGGAGACGGCCCCCGCTCACCTCTCCGTAGCTGGCATAGAAGAACTCGCAGCGGCACCGTGACACCACCCTCTGCAGCTGAATGCTGTCGTGTTCGTCAGCTCCGGCGGCTCCCACCGTCTCCGTGACCACTCCGCCGACCGACTGACCGGAGCCGACCAGGTCCGGCACGTCCCTAATGTCGTCATCGTCCCGCTCCTCGATATTGTCCACCGTGAGCCACATGATGTTCTCGGTGGCCGGGTCGCTGGCCGGGTGGCCGGCGCTCACCGTGGCGTAGTACTGCATGCCGTCCAGCCGGCCCACCCAGGAGGTCTTACTGACCAGTGTTCGATCGCGCCACACGGGCCGGTGAAGTCGTTGAAGGACCTGACTCTTGGAGGAGGTGATGATGACGTAGCCGCGTGTCTCGATGCCCTTGAGGAGGACCTGACAGTTGACCAGCTCCACCAGCCAGCTGTTATGGAGCACATCTGTGGCGTGGCACGCCGCCACGCCCCGCAGCGCGGTCTCGTCCAGCTCTCCGCCGGCGGCGTCCTCACTGAAAGCCACCGGCGCGGCGCCCAGCTCGGCGATCAGTTTCTGCAGCATACTGGCGGCCTGGCCCGACTGCAGCCGGGACATGGGTGACGGGGTGCTGGCCGAGAGGGAGCTGTTGAGGCCGCCCGTGGCCGCCGCCGCCGCGCCGTCCAGAGAGCCCGTCCGCGGGGGTTTCTGCGGGGTCCGAGTCGCCCCTCCGGAGCCCGAGTCGAACGTGATGCCCTTGAGGGCGGCGGTGGAGAGGTTCCGCTTCAGCTGCTGGTTGTTGGTGAAGCTGTCGAACAGCGCAAAGCCGGCGTCTCGGTTGTCCTTGGTCCAGGCTGCCTTCATGTTGTGCACCACCAGCCGGTGGGTGGGACACTCGCGCGTGGTATCGGCCACACTCGCCGCCCTCCCGTATGACACCCGCACCACTGACAGGAAGAACCACTTGGCCACGAGGCCGGCGTCTGCCGGGGGCGGCGGCGGCGCGGGCGCGGTCCCCGGCTCTGTCTGCCGCAGGGAGCTCTGCAGCCACACCTCCGCGTCGTTGAGCTCGCAGTTGAGGTACTCGATGGCCCAGCAGGCGCGCGGTCGGTGTCTCAGGCCGTCACAGACGGGCCGCAGAGTGAGGCGGTGCTCGGAGCTGAGCGAGACTCGGCCGCCGCGGATGTCCAGCCCGTGCTGGCGCGTGAACGACATCCAGTAGGAGACCTGGGGGCGGGGAGCGGCACTTCAGATGGCGGAACGAGGGCGTCCAGGGACAACAACAAGGCGCACAACAAAAAGTGAAGCTAAGGCAAAACATGCATATGGCTGCGTTTTCATTTTACGGCACTTGGGAAAAGAGAATGACTGAAGGAGAGCGTTGAGGTGCAGATGCTGTAGGCATATCTTTCCATCTGCTCTTCGGAGGCGAGTCTTTCTCGCACATCACCGCCATGCTGATCATTTCACGAAATATCTGGTACATTACAAATAAGACTCCCTAGGGAACCCAGTCGCTAAGCACTGCGAGCTGACACGCTGCTCGCCTAACTCACCTGGAATGCGTGCAGGTTCAGCGACAGTCTCACACACTTGTAGTGTCTCGACAGCTGCGCCTTTCGCGGCCGGACATTATTAAACACCGCTCCTCGCCGTGTGGGCCGGGTCATTCCCGACAGGATAAACTGGAGGTTCTCGAACCAGCGCAGCGTGCTCCCGTAGAGCAGCATGGTGGGCACCACGGGCTGCGGACCGCCGGCCGCCGGCGCCGTCAGCGGCCGAGTCTCGATCGAGATGGACATGTTCAGGTTCTGGGACCGGAACGCCCTGCGGTACAGAGGACGGAGACGTCAGCGTATCGCTGTCGTTTGAGATGTTAGCACTTGAGCATACAGCGTGAGAAAATAATAACAGTAGTAGAACTTCAAGACCAAGATCTCAAAACAACCACGAAATGTACCCAATTTAGCATAAGCGTCATGTAGTGTACACTTTCAATATATTATTTAGATCATTTCATGTAAATAGCTTGCATTAGATTCAACTCAATACCAGCCGTTTACGTGATCAAAGAACCTTTGTAAGTGCCCTTTTTTGGGATATATCATCACCTACAATGGATCTCCACCGCAAATCACTAGCCGTAATGCACATATCTACCTCGACCTAGTTATTCCTGTGAGTGGGAGTGATAAAGCGCACCGCGGTGCCCCGCCTCCACCTGTGTCCTCTCACCTAAACGAGTCATGCTCCTGGTTGCTCGAGTACTCGGGCAGTTTATCCCGGGCACAGGGTATCACTGCGTGGTGATCCCGCGGGTCGCCCATACACAGCCAGTCCAACTTGAAGGCCAGCTTCAGGCCGGGCACAAACAGCAGTCGACAGTCGTCATACTTGCTGGCGGTGCGCACGTAGACGCTGAGGTCGCCCTTGAAGACGATCTTGCCGTCGGTCCAGTCGGTGACCAGGTCGGCGAAGGTGAGCTCCATCTCCTCGGTGGTGTTGTAGGGGTCCAGCGAGGCGTGTAACAGCAGCGTCAGCTGCCGCACGCTCTGCGTGATCCGGCCGTGCATCTTGAGGCGCACTTTGTCCCACCAGGGCAGCGGAGGGGAAGGGTCCGTGCTGGGGCGGAGCACCTTCTCCAGGCAGAGGTTAAACATGGCCACGGCGGGCTCCCAGCAGGGGCCGTACGCCGCCACCAGCTGGTCCACGTCCGAGCTGAGGTCGTAGTAGTACTTCAGACTCATCAGCGACCTGTCCACCTGGTCGTCCTCGAACGGCGACTGCAGGCGGACGGGGAGCTGACGCGTGGCGCGCGGCACGGCCACCTGCTCGGCGCCCACCATCCTACCCCAGAGGTGCAGCTGGTGGACGTCCAGCACGGGCTGCGGGTAGTCTCGCAGCGTCACCGTCCACCTCTGGCAGCTGGTCACCAGCTCGCGGCACCACAGCGTGCTGAAGGCCGGCTCGTCGTCCGGCCAGGGGGAGAGCGGGTCGATGCGGCGCAGCTCGGATACACAGGCGGCGCGGCCGTGAAAACTGGGGTCGGCCAGCGCCCAGAACTCCAGAGACTCCATGGACCAGAGGAGGAGCCGGGTGCGCATCGGTGCGCCGCTGCGGTACATCTGGGCGGCGCGCTGCACGAACAGCTGGGCGTCCCGCTGCTGCAGCTGCTGGTACAGACTCTCCACCTGGGGCGGCGGACACAGGATGGTCAGCGTCGGCGTCCTGAGCGGCAGAGGGATGAAGAAACACGACCTATTGGAATACAACAGCGAAACAGAACAGATCCGTGATATGAATGCAATGCATGTCAGTGACTCTCTACACACAGCTGCCGATATACCTATATCTATACTGACTGACCTTTCTGGCCTGCAGAAGTCCGTGGATGCGGCGCTGCTCCTCTATCTTCAGGTCGAGTGTCTGTCGCCGTTTGACGCTCTCGTGATACTCGTCCTCCAGAAGCTCGTAATTGTCACGCAGTTTGACCTCGAACGGGTCGTCACAGATCTCCAGCGAGAGCTGCTTGATCTGCAGAGAAACGAACCAGTTCTCTCAAAGATGGAGCACACCCACAATGAACATGTTGTACATCACACTCGGCAAAGACCAGAAGCATTGCCGCAAGCGATTCATAATTATAGGAGTAAAAAGCACAAAGTTGTGGCATTTTAGGGTAACAGTCCATGTCATCCAAAGTTGTGGATATTCTAATCTTCTGAACTCATTTCCATGTACACACTTCAGTATCGGGACCCCACCATGTTCCTCCCCCCGCCCGTACCTGAATGCAGAGGTCGGCCGGCAGCGGTCCGTCCTCCCTGGCCGGACCGCTGGGCCGCCCGTGCAATCGGCGCAGCCACCGGACCGTCGTCAGCAGCTCCTCGCTCCACGCCTCAGAGAAATCGTATCCGTACGGCACGGAGCCCTCCAGGCTGGTGATGGTCACCTCCCAGCAGTCGTTCTGCGGTAGGAGGAGCTCTTCACACGCCGCGCGCCGTGCTGCCGCCGCCACGTGCGCCGTGCTTCTCTCGGCCCTCAGACCCCGCAGTACTATAATCTCATGTCCGTCGAACAGAAACTTCGGTGCAGCGGCCGTCAGACAGGCCCGGCTGCCGTCTCGGGTCCAGCAGAGCTCGGAGGCGGTCAGACCGAACCGGCAGTGGTCGGAGAGAGCGGCGTCCACCGACAGTTCGGCGCGGAGTCGGACCGTCAGCCGCGGACCGGCGGTTGGCGCAGCGGGGGTAGCAGAGGGGGAGGGAGGTCTCAGCAGCGCCGCCCACCTCCTCAGACAGTCGGCTGTGTTTTTGAGGTGCCGGTGAGCGGTGGGACTCCACCGGCCCGCGGCCGTCTCCCTCACTGACACCGTCAGCTCTCCGTCCGTCCGTCCCCGCAGTTTGAGCCGCGCTATGTTCAGCGCGGGCTCGGGCAGCGCGGCGCCCTTGTTGCAGGGCAGCGGCGGCGCGGCGGTCGGCCGGCCGGCGCTCACCGCCGCCCGTTCCACGACGAAGCTGAGCAGGCCGGCCGTCCGGTCACCATTCACAGAGTCGAGCCGCAGCGCCGAGCAGTGCTCTCCAGTCACTGCCAGCAGCGTCAGGTTGGACGCCTGGAACGGACGGCAGAGGGGAGTCAGAGCCGGTCCCGACAAGTCGCGGTCGCGGGAACTCGACAAAACTACTTTTAACTTTCAGACTTCATCCGGGGACAGAGGGGTAACGGTAAGTGTTGTCCACCACAGGCGAGGACGCAAGTATTGGCCATAAGACTGCTCAGCAGCCTCACCGATTGCCTCACTCTCAGACCCACTACCGTACCAATCTGCCCTACCTGCACACTGAGGTCCGTCGGCTGTGCGGCCGATCCCCTGGTGGCCGAGGCGGCGGGGACCGGACGGTCGGACGGCGGCAGCAGTCGCCGTGCCGAGTCAGTGGCGAACTGGGCAAGCGCAGCCGCCGACTCACTGGCCTCCAGCTGAGGAGCGGACGACATACCAGTTTAACATGCGTCCGGCAACAAGGGAGTTTGGCCGTAGAAAATCAGCGCAAGCGATACCGCCTACATCAGGAAAATTGTGCCTAACAAACATATTTTATGAATCATTGTTTCAACACGAAAGTTTATCGTGGGTTTTTGAACGATTACTGAGAGCCCGCAAGAATAGAAACATGCACACAACAGCAGTGCTCTCAACATCTTATAATACTGATATCAAACGTACAAACGTTATCATACTGTAATTTCGCCATCAACTAATTCACCCTCCAGCCTACCACATACCTGCAGGTTTTCCAGCAGCAGGCCGAGTTTGGGCGGCGCTCCGTCGGCGGCCCGCCGGTGGCTGACCAGCAGGGCGCCCAGCACCAGCGCAGCACCAGCCACGTGGCGGCGCTGGGCCGGCTCGGCCGCTCCCAGACAGCAGGTGAGCGTCTCCAGGACCAGCTCCCCGGCGGCCGGCGAGCCGCCCAGCTTACCGTGCGTCAGACACGCCATCACCTGGTGAAAGGGGCGGGGTGAGAGGTGAGAACTGGGTTGCCGCCCAGCTTACCGTGCGTCAGACACGCCATCACCTGGACAGACAGCGTGAAAGCTTAGGTCCCTCAAAGAAGTTGGGGTGAATCTATAACTTAATTTCCGACATTAGCACCAACTTATCATTCGGTCCCCTCTAGACAGCCCATCCCCACCTGATCTCCGAACGCGCTACATCCGTTTGAAAACCCCACCGGCTCTCCCACACATAACCAATGCCGCAGAAGCCTATATCTTCCCTTCCCCCAAATCTCTCTCCACTGACCGGCGGCAGTGCGGGAAGCAGCAGACACGTCTCCACGTCCCACAGCTCGGCGTCCAGTCTCAGCCTCCAGCGGCGACCAGCCGCTGACGGAGGCGGCGGCGGCGGCGGGGGCGGGGGCGGCCGGCGCCGCAGCGGATCCACCCCCAGCCGACACAGCCAGTCCGACACCGCCTCGTGGCTGTAGGTGAGCTGCAGCGTGTGGCCGCCGAACGCAGCCTCCAGGGACGGGGACGGGCTCTCCAGGTCGTCGGCGCGCACCGACAACTGAGGGGAGGGAAAGAGGCGTCAAGTGCAAGCCCAGAACTCAGCGGTCAGATAACAGTAGACAGGAATAACACTCGATGACTAACAATAAAGAGTTATTACAGCCGACGATACGGATCTACCTACAACACTGTGATTGCCGTACTTACATCCTTATTCTAGCATCACATCTGACATCATAATTCAACACGGCACATGCCATGCATCACACAGCTTAAATTGAAACAACAAAGCGCACACAAGACCCCACACCTGTCGGCTGCCACCACCCTCACCTGCAGATTGGCGAGCGAGGCCAGCCGCGCTCCGTCGGCGGTCTCCACCCCCAGCTCTTCCAGTTTGAGAGACGCGCTGGCCTCGGTGAGTCGCGGGGCGCTGCTCGCCTCCAGTCGGCAGGTGCCCAGTCGAGAGGCCAGCCGCCGCTCCCCGTGTTCCGAGGTCAGAGTCAGCTCGGAGAAGGTCAGAGCCGCGGAGACGGGGACGCGCGGTGCCAGCCACCGCCACCGCTCCACCCCGGCGGGAGGGGGAGGGGAGGGAACAGGAGACGGCGGGCCGGGGCGCGGCTCAGAGGCGGCGGCCAGTAGCGGCGGCACCAGACGGTCCGACAGCAGGACGTCCGGCCGCAGCAGCCGCACGGACACCTCCGTCAGCTGGGGCGCCGGCGGCGGACCGCGCTGGTCCGGCTCGTCTCCCTGGCAGTAGGGAGGGTGGTATTAGGTACCGATCGTTGATAAGGAAAGTGTCAGCTGACGCGTCATCAAAACTAGTGAGCGATATGACATGCAAGGAAGAATAACACGAAGGAACAAGCTTGAACGCAGCACTACACATGCTGTATGACCAAAACAACCCATAAACTCGCAAACAACCACTAGTTAAGGAGACGAATCGCTTCCTCCAGCAATTCTATGCTAGTACTTTTTAACTGCAATAAAGGGTGTATAAATATAGCCGAATATAAGCATGGCGAAAAAGACGTAACAAATTGAAGAACCGTCCTCACGCGCCCTCCCATCCTCCCCTTACTCCCTCCGTCCCTACTAACCGGCTGCACTGTGGCCTGCAGCTCCAGCTCCGCGGTCAGCCGGGCCAGCGGCGGCGGCCCGTCCCCCGTCTCCACCTCCACCTCTCCGTCCGGCGGTGCGGCGCCGTCCAGCCTCGCACACAGCGCCGCGGCGCGCAGCACCAGCATCAGTCCGTTGTCTATGGTACTGGTACCCTCCAAGGTGACCCGGGCGGCCTGGAGGCGGGCGCGCCGCTCCCCGCCCACCGCCCATTCGGCGCCGGCCTGGTACACGTATACCCCGGCAAACTGGCCCAAAGAGAGCAGGGCAGAGGCCGAGGAGCGGCCCGCCGAGGAGGGAGAGGAGGGGGAGGGGGAGGGGGAGGGGGAGGCGGCCCCGGTGTGCGTCAGACGGACCCCGTGCAGACACAGCGCCAGCGGTCGGTGGACCTGTGGGCAAAGACAGACACACAGTCTATACACAAATATACTCTATATACCTAACACAAATATAGAACCGCCAAACGTTAGCAGAATGTCCACTACCCAACTATCAACCGAAAACCGTACTATCCACGAACGTCCGACCTCGGCGACGTACCGTATCGTGAACGCAAACGTACCAGCTGGATCAATCAGCATGTATACAGCCTTTACGCTCACCTGGCTGTTGACGAGGCTGCTGGTGATGGTCAGTCCGTTGGCGGTCAGTCGGACCGGACCCCACTCCAGGCTCAGCTGGTACACACACAGCGGGTGGAGGCCGATCCTGCCCAGAGATATCTGCCGCGAACGGGACCGGATCGAGAGGCAACGTCAGGGATTGGAGACAGGAGCGCCGGTACATCGCTCTACGGCATCGGAAAGACACACTACCACGGTAACGGCCACGAAAACGGCAGCTCCAAAAAACGGCAATGACAAGCCAGCGACGGTGAACTAACATCATGACACTCTCTTCACTTACGATTGAAATATCTAGGCATTTGTTTCCGAAAATATATCGAGATAGTGCGATAAACACGGGGTTGACGAACGAGTGCACTTAGGACGTTATTAGACAGATAATAACCAAAAACAGCTTGAGACTTAGAGGACAGCGAACTGTGCTGATCGATAGAGAATGGAGATTGAAAATATTGAATATCAGCTAATTTACCTGAAGGTTGTAGCGCCAGACGAGGAGCCATGACAGCAGCTGGGGCAGCAGCCGGGTCACTACGTAGTAGAATGCCACCAGGCAGAGAGCCACCGAGCCCAGGTGCATGGTGGCGCCTGGGACTCACACAGACCGAGAGCCTAGTTCTGATCTCTTATCAAATTATGCTCTTGACTGTAGTGATTGACAGAACTCTGTCACCTGGTGGAAGACGTATGCTTAGATTAAAAACAAGATTTGCCTTCTATTGCCTGAGCAAATAACTATTTAGTAGCCATGAGCTTTGTATGGAAGGGAGGATGGCTTTTTCTGACGGACTCATAAAGGAGGGGCTGACCATTTGACCAAAATTGGTCCAGTTGACCTCACAGATAGACAGGCACAGGTCATGACCACAAAAAATATGAGATAGGTATTTAAATGTTTCATTTTTCTTGTTACCCTCAACTATCTGCCCAAAGCTCCTAAGTAATTGCTGAATAGCTAGCCAGGAAAAGCATTTTATATCATAAGGTGAGGAGACTCAGTCACTCAGAGGAGTGTTCACGTGCACCGCACACTGCTGCGTGCGGTGTGTGCGGTGCGTCCAGCAGGCGTGGGGGTAGGGGATGGGTAGGCGGTTCTGACGTCACGGCTGCGTGCGGTGGACGGTCCGCTGTGGCCAGTCCCGACCGGCCACAGCGATCGCTGTGTGCGGTGACGGAAGGCTGACGTAGGGACGCAGTGGGCGGAGCTTCGAGGCTGTGTGCGGTCCGATCGCACACAGAGCCCATGAACAGCCCTCCGGTCAGTCAGGATAGGTTGACCTGACACTATGTGACCCATATTACAATTTCAATAACCTGCACAAAAATATATGATGGCGCCTATGCCAAAACACTATAGAGGCCCAGAGGGTTTCAATTTTCAAACACCACCCTCCCAACTCCCATGTCCTAAAAAAGCCAGCCATGTAAAAATGCATCTAAATTAGAAATGAATCAATTAACAAATTTGGACATGTTAAGCACTAGCCTAAATATCCCAATACCCTAAGGTAAGGTAAGGTAAGGTAGGTATGTGTTTTCAAATTAATGCAGGAAGTGGAAACTGCTTTAAAATTCCTCAACTCTACCTAGGTACATAGCCATATTTAATGCACTTTTAACATTTCTAACATATTTTTAGCATGACATTCTTAGCATGGCATTTTTAGCACATATTGTTGATAGTTGAGAAATATAAAATGAGTTATGAGCCTATGTAAAATGTGAAAAATAAGATCTTTATTTGATTTCAAAATGAAAATAAATTGCCAATTCAGATCACCATTTTCATTTTTTCAATAGCATTCAGAAGCACATTACTGATGGAATTTAATTAAATTTGAAACAAATGTTTGTCAATATCCATCCAATCTTCTGTAGGAACTTTCAACAAGATTATTACAATTGACTGTTGAGGTAGACTGTATTCGTACATTGCTTTGAAATACGAGCAGAAACGGAAAGAAGATGGGCGTAGCAGGAATGTGAAATTAGTAGCTATTGACTATATGAATGCAAGGACAACCGTTTCAGCCATTGAATTCCCTGCTAACATTCATAAATAATAGCCGTCTTCCAGCTTGATTTTAACTGAAAGCCCGCTGCGGCCGGACTCTAGTCGAAAAATGAAAATTCACTTTCATTAAACATCGCACATAGGGACATAGGGAGGAACTTGCATTTTACGGCAGTCGTAACCAAGGCAGTATCCAAGGGCAGTATCAACTTATCAAGGCAGTATAGGTATACCGTCGTAACATTTTACTTATTTACTTTATTGTTATGCTAGCCCAGATAATATGAGAGACCACTGACCAGCAGATGTTGATGTTAGCATACCATTTAAATTGGATGATTCAGGATACCTACTTGACTTGCTGACCGCTGACTAACAAATAAATCAGAATAATTTTAATATCTTCATAATAATATTTTCAAATAGAAGTTTCTTTTGCGCCGCTTATGCCGCGTCCACCGATTCAAGGTTGAGCATTTTTACTGTGGTATTTATGTTGTGTGAATTACGTCAGAGTTTATGACGCAATTTACATGAAATTGTTTTTATCATTTTGAGGCGAGCTGAATGAATGAATGAATGAATGAATGAATGAATGAATGAATGAATGAATGAATGAATGAATGAATGAATGAGCAAACGAACGCACTAACGAACAAACGGCCGACCGACCAACCGACCGACCGACCGGCGACCGTCTTCGTTTCTATGGGCCAGTGGCGGCGCCACGAATTTTCGCCAGTGGGGGCAAGCTTGAGGTAACCCGACTGTGGTCTGATACCTACCCCGATCTGCAAAATCCATGAGCACCTTGCCCCTAGAGGTTGCCATTCAAAATTATTATGGTTTCAGGTTTCATGCATAATTGAGCTTAACCATTAACCCTCGCGGGCCAGGAGGGGGGGGAGGGGGAGGGCGTTTTTCGCCTCCCCTGGCGAATATTTGCGATACCTCATGAACACTCAGGGATAGAAAGACGAAACTTGCTGTACCTTATCCCCCATTAATTTGACATCTTTTGAAGCAAGCGAATTGGACCTAGCCTTCTTGATAACGTCTCGGGGCCGATTTTCCTAGACTCCTGCACGGCAAACTTCGGCGTCACAGACGTGAACTTCAACCAGCTGCCAAAAATAGAGGTTTAGAGATGAAGACGAATTACGAGCACGGTTGTGTGGCATTTGACCTAGAAAAATGCTTAAGTAACTTTGGTGACCTGAGGTTGGAGGTCAGGTCAATGACCCCGAGCTGGGGCTTTAGTTTTTTTTTTTTCGCAAATAACTTCAACAAAAATGGTCCTAGAGCTACGACAGCGGTAACATCGCATTTGTCTCGTCGAGACGTGTCGAATGACATATATTATATATTATATATACATATATATATTGTTTGAAAAAGGTCAAGTTTTATGTTGACATCATGTGACCTCGAATGACCTTTGGTTGACTTTGACACATGAAAGGGCGTTTGTGATGATTTCGTTGCCGCTGATCACGATTCTGGCATCCATTATGCTCTAAGCATTCATTTAGAGCCTCAGGATGGCATAACATGTCTTAATTATTATGCCTGACTTGAATAAGTGAAATAACCTCTAGCAAGGATACTCTCTTGTGACTTTAAACCTTGTAGCAGCCTTTTATCGTAAGCTAAGGCACAAATAGGGGCCCGCTAAGCTTCAAAACATTTCAAAACATTTCGGAATTTAGTAAACAAGATATAAGAAAAAGTGCAAAGTTTGTGGTCAATTTTGATCATGACTGTGACCTTGCATTTGAATGTTATGCAGATCATCGGAATCCCCAGACTCTCTTCTTTCGTTTAACAACCATTTTAGCCGGTTTCATGCACTATGCCGTCCTCTGGAACACGTACCTACTTTGAGACCACTACAAAAGTGCCGGTTTTTGCCTTTGACCTTGATGTTTGACCTTGAAAATTGACCTGAGATCAAAAAGTTTAGCTTTAGAATCTTCTCGTAAATACCTTTCGTTTGGTACCATTTTTGTTTCCGTAGCTGCCTTATTTACGGAGTTAGACAGGTGTGTGGGGGGCTACCCCCCACGAGCAAACAAATCGAGCAAACAAACAACAAACAAACCCCCGGGCTGCGGTGGTTGGGATTGCCCCCCGGACCCGGGCAGGTTACGGTCGCGAGCAAATAAAACTATAAAACTAGATTGCGAGACACAAACCTATGAAAACGTTATGTTATTTGTTGAGATGGATTGAGAATGGCGTATTCCTCAAAACAATGATCAGTACCTAGTTCTCTTTTTTCCCGTAGTGGGTACGTGTGTGATTCTCACACACACGATTGATATACCAGAACAAGCTTTATTAGGGCGATCCACATACCAGATAACCCGGATATACATACCTATCACATTTTGTCATACCTCCCTGAACTCAAGTCTCAGTCTAAGGGCTCCCAAAAGAAGGTGATCTCTTCTCTGGCCGATTTTGACAAACTCCCTCTCAACCTCCTCGAGGTCAAGCGAGAGGGCAGCCTTCTGGTGAATGAAAATGAGTAGGAGAATGAGTGGGAGTAGGAGATATGCAACAGACGGTCCGAGAACGAACGTTCTGCTAATGCACTTGATACGCGTAACGCGGGGACCGTAAAAACAGGCGTAGGTACACTCGGGGGCAGATTGATGTTCCACCACTCCCTACCCATTGGGCTCCGATGGCTCAGCACTGGCTGCTGCCAGTGGCAGCACTGGCAGCACTGGCACTGGCAGGCAGTGCTGAGCAGTGCTGAGGGCAGGCAACACCATGGCAGCAGCCACTGCTGATCCATGGGAGCCCGATGGGTAGGGAGTGGTGGAACATCAATCTGCCCCCGAGTGTACTATTATAACCGCCTATCATGAATGTTGCACCGGTCTTCTGTTCCCATTTCAACATCAGCCAAATTTTGTGGGGGCAAAAACATAGTCTTGCCCCCATGGCCTTTTGCCAGTGGGGGCAGTCTGCCCCTACTGCCCCCACGGTGGCGCCGCCCTTGCTATGGGCCGAGGCGCCGACCAGTGACGTACCCAAGGGGGGGGGGGCAACGGGGGCCAAGGCCCCCCCCCCCTGAGCCAGGCCCCAGGATATTTTTTTAAACACTGGATAAAACGTCTTTTACTCGGAAGAAAAATTGATATTAAAGTTTCATTTATGTGCCCTGGGTACCCAAGGGGCCCCTGCAGTCATCCAAGGGCCCCCAGTTTCCTGGGCCCCTGGTCGCCTAGGGGGCCTCTGGTAGCCGGGGGGCTGGTCTCATGGGGCCCCTGATAGCCTGTGGCCCCTAGTCGCCTAGGGGGCCCTGGTCGCATGGGGGCCTCTGGTCGCATGAGGCCCCTGATCGACTGGGGGCCCCTAGTTGCCTAGGGGGCCCTGATAGCCCGGGGCCTGGTCGTATGGGCCCCTGATAGTCTGTGGCCCCTAGTCGCCTAGGGGGCCCTAGTCGCATGGGGGCCTCTGGTTGCATGATATTGAGGCCCCTGATCGCCTGGGGGTACCTAGTCGCCCAGGGGGCCCCTGGTAGCCGGGGGGCCTGGTCGCATGGGGCCCCTGGTTACCTGGGGCCCCCGGTCGCCCCTAGTCGCCTGGGGGACCCTGGTCGCCTTGGGCCCCTGGTAGCCTGGGATCCCCTGGTCGCCTGGGGGGCCCCTGATCGTCTGAGGGCCGCTGGTCACCTAGAGGGCCCCTGGTCGCCTGGGGGCCCCTGGTAGCCGGGGGCCTGGTCGCATTTGGCCCCCTGGTCGCCTGGGGGCCCCTGATCGCTTTGGGGACCTGATCGCATTGGCCCTTGGTCGCCTGGAGGGCCCTGGTCGCCTGGGGCAGTGGGGCCGCTAGTCATCTGGAGGACCTGGTCGCCTGGGAACCCCTGGTCGACTGGGGGCCCCTGGTCGTCTGAAAGTACGCTTATCACCTGATTGATCCCAAATCATCTGAGTGGCTACTGGCTACTGGATATAAGTAGTGACTGCCGACTGGAGTAGGCACTCATCTGAAGGAGCCAATATCTTTCACGGTGCCGGAGATATCACAGAAAAACAAAAAGTCTCAACTGAATACCCCCCAACCTTGGCCCCAAAGGCGTCATTGGCTAAGACGGGGATGTGGGTCGATTTGCAATCGCATTTCCTCCTAAGTCCTATTCCTCCAAAATACAGAGTGTCCCAGAATTACACAAACATTTATTTTCTGGCTAAAAGTACAATTGCGCTCGATTCCTAGTGAAACATATAATAGCCGCGTTTACATAGGGCTAGTTGCCAGATAGTGGAATGCCGATAACGAGACATTTATTCCCCACTATTATATTAACTATTGGTGCCAATCGGAATTTCTTTTCTTGGAATTCCAATTTTTGTCCAATTCCAATTTGGAATTTGGACGGAATTCCTAACATTTTTTTGGAAATTAATCGGAACACAAGGCCTTTAAAATTTAAAATTTTAAAACGGAGGCCTTTAAAACGCTTTTAAACACTTTTAAAATTTACGCAAAAAATGCAAAAATCGTTAAAAATTGGAAAAGCCCCCGCTTTAGACAAAATTGGAAATTTTCTTGGCAATTTCTTGGAATTGGATCGGAATTGGAATTGAAATTTCATGAAATTAGCACCACTAATATTAACCCTCGCCCGTATAGGGGGGGGGGGGGTCGAACGGACCCCCCCATGGTTTTTCGCGAATAACTCGCGTAAAAAGCGGCAGATCGCGACGAAACTTTCAGTACCCTCGCGTTAATCAATTTTACACCTACCCTGAAAATTTCATGACCCTGGCCCCAATGACCTTTGACCTGTGACCTACTTTTCGAGACCATGTTTGGCCGGAATCGCGATTCGGCGTATGTCGGCTCGCATTAGCCGCGCGTTTGCAGTCTTTTCGTGGTTTCAAGCGTTCAAACATGTGATATGATGTTGCCCCATGCATTAGGGTGGGTGTCAAGGTAACCTGAAGGTCAGGTCAGGTCATTGACCTTTGGTGACCTCGGTTCACTTTTTCGAGTTTTACATGTTTCTAGGCCAGTTTTTGGAGCTGAATTCGAGTTTAGCAACCATATGAACATTTACGAAGTAGTTTTGGGGCCTTCGTAACATGTTACGAAGCTGTCAGAGGCGGTTGACACCTACTAGGAACACCCGGCAGGACCCCTACTGGTTGACTTGACCTGACCTGACCCGACCTGGACTTAATGCATACAGACATCATCTGTGATCAAAACTAACATGATATTCGTGATCAGCGCCCCGAAAAACCCCATAGCAGTCACACTTTACGACGTTCTAACAGGTTCCGATTTTCCCGACTTTTGGGTCATTGACCTGACCTGCAAGGTCAACCAATGACCTAAGACCTTAAAATTAGGTATCATCGGCTTCCTCTCGTCACGGGCAACACGCTT